TTTTTTTAGTATAATTGGAACATCAGGTGGTTCAAACAAAACTTGAATTGGCACTGGAGATTTTGGCAATGATGAGATGGTGAAGACCGCAGCACTGTTTAAGAAGAAGTCTCAGCATAGGACCTCAGTAGCTTTGGGGAAGGAACCTGTGGACACCAACAAATGCAGAGTGCTTTGAGCAGGTACCAGAGGCCTATCTGCTTTTTTAGTATAATTGGAACATCAGGTGGTTCAAACAAAACTTGAATTGGCACTGGAGATTTTGGCAATGATGAGATGGTGAAGACCGCAGCACTGTTTAAGAAGAAGTCTCAGCATAGGACCTCAGTAGCTTTGGGGAAGGAACCTGTGGACACCAACAAATGCAGAGTGCTTTGAGCAGGTACCAGAGGCCTATCTGCTCTTTCTGCCTCAACAGAAACTGATCTCTGCTCAGTTTCTGCGAGAGTTAGAGCAGGCTGGAAAAAAACAGCGGTGAAGGCAACTGCTCTGCTGGCGCACTTGGGCCTTCACAAAACAATGTGGGAGAAAATAAGGAAGCTTGGCTTTCTGTAGAATGAGAGGAAGCAGAGCCAACGAGTTTCTGTTTTGTAACTACTGTTGTAGCCCCTTGGGTTGTATGCATATTAAGATAGGAGAATATTGTGCTGTCATCCCTGAAACTATGGTTTTTAATCTTTTTTTGAGGGGAGTCAGACCTCTTGAATTTGATCAAGGTCGTGGACCCTTGTTTCAGAAAACAAACATACCCCAAAAAGCTTGCCAATAATTTGTGAAAGATGCTGTTGCCTGAAAAATAGGATCAACAAAATAAGGAGATTATTGCTAATGTATCTATAAATCCCTTTAAAATCTGTTAAATATAAAATGTAAAATATAAGATACACACACACACACACACGTGCGCACACACACCAAATGTAATGACCTGAGTCCGAGTGTATTTTTTAAATAAAAGTTAAAACTAAGTACAGAAATCCCTTTTATTATACCTAATCTATTAGAAATACAAACCTCAACCAACTGGTTTTTCAACTTCCTTTTGTCTCTAATGATGGGACTGGTAGTTTGAACATAGGCTTAAATTTCTAGTTTTGAATTTAACTGGACAAATCAGATTCTTGACAGGATTATCAACTCTCTGGATCCTAGTTATGGGAACTGCCTCTTTCTGAATTTCACTCCACCTAACTTCCTATTCACTGTTCCCTCCCTGATGCTCAACTAGCTATTTCATCTTTACTCAACTTCTCTTACAGTGTGTATTATGACTGGCTCTTCTTCTATGTTAAAAGTGAGATTTGTGTTTTTTTAGGAGGATTAATTCTTCCCTTATCTCGAGATGGTGAACAGAATTTAACTGTCAAAGCATACCCTAACCCCAGAACAAGGCTCGTTCAATGAAGATTATGGACTAATTAATAGGCTCTTATCACCATGCAGTCTTCATTCATTCCACAAGTATTTATTGAGAATCAGTTAGGTGCCAGCCCATGTGCTAGGCACTGTAATGCAGCAACGAATAAATACTGTCCCTTTACTCTTGGTGCTTAGGCTATTGAAAAAGGATAATATTAAACAATGATTATGCATATTAAGATAGGGGATTATCTTACTGTCATCCCTAAAACTAAGGTTTTTAATCTTTTTTGGGGGAGAGTCATAGACCTCTTGAATTTGATCAATGTCTTGATCAAACATACTCCCCAAAGCTTGCCAATAATTTCAAGTTGTTCACAGATCCTTTGAATCCTTTCCATGAACTCTTGAGTTTAGAATTCCTACCCTAAATGGTAAATGACAAAGTCAGATGAAACCAGAAGAAGCGGAAATTCTAAGATATTTGGAGGGGAAGATAGAATTAAATGCTGAGTAGTAGCAGCAGCAAGAATAAGAAATAAGTTTCTATAGCTTTATCTTATGTATGTTATCACCAGCTAACATGCATAATAATGTTTCCAGGAATCATCCACTACTGAGGACCCAATGCCCCACCAAGCGAACCTTGCCCTCCCACAGAAGAACACTTCGCGAAGCTACCAACTCACTCACCTTTGCTCTGACGCAGTACTATTATGATGTGCAGTAAGAAGGTGCTATAAATTAAAACTAAACAAGATAAAGGGGATGGAAAGTTACTGGGGTTTTGTGTTTGTGCTATTTTATATAGTTGTATAGAATGTCAAGGAAGCTTTTTCTGATAAGGTGAGAATTGAGTGGAAATCTGTAGAAGTAGGGGAGCAAACCATATGGATGTCTGGGAGAGCCTTTTGGGCCAAGGGAACAGCAAAAGGGAGGCCAGTGGGCGGAGCAGAATGAATAGGTGGGAGAATGGTGGGAAAGAAGTCAGAGGGGAAGCTGAAGCTTGTATGTCGGGTCTTCCAGGATTGGGATGGAAGGGTCAGGGATAAGGAGTAAGTAGAATCTGAGGGTACCAGACTGTGACAGGATCATAGAAGGCTTTTAGTAATGGGAGAAATGCTCAGGGAAACCCAGTGAGAGGTATTTTGCATTGTGATATCCATGACAACACAAGTGCTGAAGCGGGGGGACAGTTAGACATAATTAGATAATACAGAGAGCTTACCAAGCCTCACCTTACCAAGGTAAGGGTTCATGGTATAACTATGGAACCCCTCTGTGTATGTGAAGGGGTGGGCTAGGGTGGAGCCAAGAAACTGAAAGAATAATGGAGAAAATACCAAGGAAGGTGAATAGAAAACAGAAGGCTGAATAGGCTTAAGTGAGAAGAGCTTGGAAATCGAAGAAAGGGAGAAGGATCAGGATAGGGGAAGGGAGTGAGAAACTGTTTGTCAAATGGCCACAATTTGCCCAGATCTTTACATCTGTATTTTAATGTGGTTTTAAAGCAATACTAAGAGGTGGGTATTAATTGTCCCCATTTTAGAGATAAGAAATTTGCAAACCCAGAAAAATTAAGTAACTTGACAGAGGTGATAAACTACCACTAGGAATAGTAGGAGAGGGCAACTTCATTATTTTATGTTCAGTTCTTACCTATTTTCTCATGTTGCTGTATCAGTTCATTCCTGATATTATATTTGCAGAAACAAAATTATGTTACAGGTAGGAAGACAACAACAGAAAGATGGCAAAGCGGCAGGCTGAGTAGAATTTTGTCCACTGGGTTCTCACTGTTGGATTACCCACCTGGCCTTACAAAAAATGCCACAAGATGGCAGCATCTTATTCATTAAGGGAGCGGGGGAGGCAATCATGCTCCAAGGTTTTAGTACAGAAAAATTGAAGAAAAAGTAATGTACATTATAATCCATATTTAGAAACTGACCCGTATTAACCAGAAATATTTGTTGAGAAATAGAGTAAAGGCCTCTAAGTTCACAGAAATACATCCATCTGCAGGCATTTTGATCTTGACATTTATAAGCATTCCCAGTGCTGTATGGGAGTCATGTAACATGGTAGAATGTAGTGGTTAAGTTTCCACTTGGACATCAGAGAGATCTGTGTTAAAATTCTAGCTCTGACACTTAACTATATGGTATTGGGCAAATGAAAATCTATCTAAATTCATTTCTTCATCTGTAAAATTTCTACCCCTTAGGTTTATTTTGAATATTACATAGCACATAATTAGCTCTTGGTGAAGTGCCTGACACCACTCAATAAAAAGTAGTCATTATGTAATAATTATCTGTTATTGTTTTTTCTTTATCTTCATAATGTTAGAACTATACAAGACCCTTAGAAATTATCTAGTCTGATGGTTCTCAACCTTAGATGCACTTTGGAATCACCTGGGGAGCTTTAAAAAATCTGCTGTCTGTAAGTTTGAGGCATCACATTTCTAGGTTTCAAAATATATTACAAAGCTATAGTAATTAAAAGAGTATTGTCCTAGCATAAAGACAGACATATAGACCAATAGAACAGAATAGAGAGCCCAGAAGTAAACCCATGCATATAGTGTCAACTGATCTTCGATATGGGTGCCAGGAATATACAGATGTGGAAAGGACAGTCTCTTCAACAAACAGTATTGGGAAAATTAAACGGCTATACACGAAAGAATGAAATCGGACTGTTATCTTACACCATGCACAAGAGTAAACTAAAAATGACTGAAAGACTTAAATGTAAGACTTGAAACTGTAAAACTTCTAGAAGAGAACATGACAGTGAGCTTCTTGACATTTGCTTGGCAGTGATTTCTTGGATATGACTCCGAAAGCACAGACCACAAAAGCAAAAATAGATAAGTGGGACTACATCAAATTAAAAAACTTCTGCACTATAAAACAATCAAAAGAGTGACAAGGCACTATGGAATGGGTAAAAATATGTATAAACTGTTTTCTGATAAGGGGTTAATATCCAAAATACACATGTTCATAGCAAAAAAGTAAATAAGTAAAATAAAATAACATGATTAAAAAATGGGCAAAGGACCTGAAAGACATTTCTCCAAAGAAGATATACATATGGCCACTAGGTGCATAAAAAGGGATCATCAGGGAAATACAAACGAAAACCACAAAAGATATCACCTTAACACCTGTTAGGATAGCTATTATAAAAACAAACAAACAAAAGATAAGTGTTGGTGAGGATGCTGAGAAATTGGAACCCTTGTGCACCATTGGTAGAAATGTAAAATGATTCAGCTGCTGTGGAAAACAGTGTGGAGGTTCCTCAAAAAATTAAAAATGGAACTACCATATGATCCAAAAATTCTACTTCTGAGTATTTATCCAAAAGAATTGAAATCAAGTTCTCAAAGAGATATCTGCATTCCTATGTTCACTGAAGCATTATTATTATTATTATTTTATTATTTATGCCTATAGCACCTGGTCTTCCTAGGTCTCCCATCCAAGTACTAACCAGGCCTGACCCTGCTTAGCTTCCGAGATTAGACATTAGGCTTGTTCAGGGTTTCATGGCTGTAGATCATGGGCCTTGGCTTCACTGGGGCACAAACCCAGGACCTTCTGCGTGTAAAGCAGACGTGCTAACCGCTATACTATGGAACCACATCCCAACTGCAGCATTATTAACAATAGCCAAGATATGGAGACAACCCAAATGTCCATCAATAAATGCATTAAAAGAAAATGAGGTATATATGTACGATGGAATGTTATTCAGCCTCTTACGAAAGAAGGAAATCCTACCATTTGTGACAACATGGATGAACCTGAAGGACGTTATGTTAAGTAACATAAGCTGGTCTCAGAAGGGCAAATACTATATGATTCCCCTTATATGAGGTATTTAAAATAGTCAGTCATAGAATCAGAGAATAGAATAGTGGTTGCCAGGGGCTAGGAGAAGGGGTAAATGAGGAGCCGTTGTTCAATTGGTGTAAAGTTTCAGTTATGCAAGATGAATTAAGTTTATCTGTTGAACAATGTAGTGCCCATAATTAACAGGGTGGTATTGCGCATTTAAAATGTTAAATGGGCAGATCTCATATTAAGTATTCTAAACACACACACACAAAATGGGACACAAGGAAACTTTTGGAGGTGGTGGACATGTTTAGTAACTTGATTGTGGTGATAATATAATGAGTATATGCATATATCCAAACTCATCAAATTGTATACATTAAGTATATGCCTTTGTTTTAAAAGAAAGTCTGCTCTCTGGAGTCCCACCCCCAGAGTTCTGGAGTACTGCATGGTCATTAGAATTTTTAAAAGCTCTCTAGATGATTCCATTATGCAGCCATGGTAGAGAAATACTTCTCTGGACCAACATCCTCACTGTACAGATACAAAAGAGAGGCCAGAGAAAGTAGGAATGATTTGTCTGTTAACATGAGATCACGAACTCAAACTGGGGTTTCCTGATTCCTAGTCCTGGATTCTCTCTAGCACACAACACTGCCTCAGGCTCACTTCCTATGCTTCCACACAAACACTCTGCCCCAGTCAAATTGTCTCATGTTATATTCCACGAACACCAGGGCCACCCCTGTGTCAACTCCACAGCAATACAAGCTGCCATTGGAGTGTTGATCATGTGCCAAACACTGAGCAAGCCAAGTTATATGTGTTATCTCTAATCCATACAAGCTTTCAAGAAAGGCATGAGTATTCCCAATGTAAGAGGAGGAAGCTGCTGTTCAGAGACAACTGGTGAAGAAGAGAAGCCAGAATTTGACGCAGATCTGTTATACTTCAAAGCCCAGGCTCTTTCACCACAGTCACTGCCCTGTTCCTACCCCACCTTAGCTTCTGGGGTTATTCATCAAGAACCAGCTCTAGGGTTGCTCCCTCCCTAAAAGTCCTTCCACTCCAGACCAGGGATCTGTTTATTTACTAAATGTTTATGGCACCGATCACATACATTAGCCACTTGGCAGGGTCTGCCACACATGCTAATTTATTTTGTCACGTACATGACCTGTTCTCCGTGAGTCTGGGAAAGAGAGAGACCTTCCTCCGTGTTTCTGTCCTGGTCCTGTAGCTGTATCTAGATATGCTGATATTGCAAGAGCATAATACTTAGTCTTTTGTGAGACTCTTCCCCTAGGAATATCTGGAGAAGGGGAACACTTGTTAGTCTCAAGTGGAGTTGAAAATTTGAACTGAGAGAGAATGGAGCTTTCCTAGGGCTGAGAGTTGTAGTATATTTACAAGTAAGCCTCTAGGGGTCAGTAGAAAGCCAAGTTTTGAGAGTGTGAGGCTCAAGTGAAATCAAAATCTCTGGCTGGAAAGAGTTTTTCTCATTTTAACCATCAATCTACCTAAAGCTAGAATTCTGTCTCCAGCATAACAATAACCATAGCAACATTCCTCCCATCTCAGAGGCCAGTGATGAGGAGTCGACGGTTTCTGTGGCAGCCTCTTCCATATTTGGGCCGCTTTATTAGAATGCGGTTCTTGATTTTATATGAAACCGCCTCCTTGTAGCTTCTGCCTAATTCTACAAGGAGATTAAGTGGAAACAGCCCTTGTACTGCATCTGGGTCTAGGCATGTGAGAGGCCTGTTCTGTATGAGTAGGCCTTCCATAGAAGATTGATTACTCTAGGATGTTGCTGGCACCAGTGGTAGCTCCACTCCTCTGGACTGTCCTGCCCATCAGCTTCTTCCTTCTGGCCTAAGCGTTACCACTCTCAAGCATCGTGGAAGGAGGGAAGTGAGCAACACACCTCTGGCAGAGTGCTGTCATCTCATACTCAGGGATGAAGAGGGTGACTCTTTCCAGCAGAGTACAGAGACCTGAAAAGTATGTGTCTTGCTCAGAGAAGCCTCCTTTTCACTTCTGTTCTTCCCAAGGGCTCCTCTCTAATAGCCCAGTCCTTGCTTAGCCAAACCTACTTTCTCTGCTCAAAAATAAAGAGAGACTACTACTGTATTTTCTGGTCTCAATTATATTATTTAGAAATATATGGAATAAAATTATTTCCATTCTATTCATATCCATGTGTGTATATTTTTTTCAATTGTAAATCCTTAATAAATGCAGGCTGTTATTATAATTCCAAAGTTTTATGTTTTGATTTTTTTCAAAAAACATGATTTAAGGATCACTAGGGTATGGAATGAAAAAGCAAGTCCCTTAGTTGGTATATAAACCCAGCTGATGGTTCACCCTTTACATTACATGATGGCTTTGCAGCTATATACTCAGCATTATGTATGCATTTTATGGAGAAAATATATGATATGGTGATATATGACTAGTGGTTCTCAAAGTTTTTGGATAATATCCCTCTAAACTGTCAAGATCTGTCATTCTACAATTATACTTACTTATTTCTTGCCTCTGTCTTTAGTTTTATTTTACTCTTATAATCTGCCTATCCTTCCCCCATAGCCAACTGATAAAATTTTAACAAATGTATTGCCTCTCTCAATGAAGTTTTTCCTGATTATTTTCCATTAACATATCTTTTCCTGCTTTGATCTTTAGAATTTTATCATAATTTTTTTGGATACAAATAAATTTGTACTTTAAAAATTTTATATGACCTTGTATAATAATGATCTGTGTATTTTATTGTATTTCTGCCTCTGAGATTATATCTTCTCCAGGGTACATCTAGGTCTTATTTGTCTGAGAAGCCTCCCTGCTCATAACTGCCCTACTCCCACAAAGCCCAGAACATGGCCCTCCTCATTTCAGGGGCTGAGAGATATTTGTTGAGTTGAATGAGGTTAAAGGCTGGTTCTGCTGTAGCAAAAAGACATCTTGTGGACTACAGTTTTTGCTGAATGTTACTAGTACTTTTGATAGTCAACTCTAAATAAAACCAGATTGCTATGTTCTTTGGATAATCTGACTTGGGGAAATACCTGAGCCCAACAGCTGCTCTAACATTAATATTTAATATCCTTTTTATCTTCTAATTTGACAGTTTTTTTCTTGGTCCAGTTCTACCTTTCTCAAATCTAATTGCTAATCATGCTGTTATAGTGTCCTCCTTTTTATTCCCTTTCTCATTATGTTGTGTTGAAATCTCAGAAAAAAATAGAACACATGTTGTAAAGATCCTATTGGCTCAATTGTCCAAATGGAGAATTGATTTAAATAGTCTTTCTCCTATTCAGTTTACCAATTTAGTAACTGTGTCTTAGCCCAAATTCTCTAGATTATAGAGCCTGGGGTCAAGATTAAAGTGCTGATCCTTTTTTCGTGTATGTGGTGGGGAGGTACAAGCTTGGGAAGGTAAAAGTG